AACTTTACAAAAATATTTCCGCTTAAATTTGATAACGATCGGTAAGTATTAAGCTTCCAAAACAACATTGATAGCGATAATGTTTAAAATGTACACAGTGCTCTAGAGGTTTAAGTTCATCTAACTCTTTTCTACCCTTAAATTCCAAAAACAGCAATCCATATTTTTGTGACGCTGAAGTCAGCTGAGAAAAACGCTACGCCTCACTTCGATACTATTCGTCAGTTCAGGTTCAACAGAACATTATAGGTTTCAACTCTGGATTACTGCAAATATTGCGCTTTTTATTATATCAGTCACAGCAAAGGACAGTATATATTACTGTACTGAACATATCAAATCGTTGTTACCAGATAGAATCCAAAGAGAACTGCTACACCTATAACACACCATTTTCTACACTGGCTAAAATATCCTGTAGCTGACTGCCAGCGTGCATCACGACAGAAAAAGACCTGCGATTAGACTACAGTTCAGTTCAAAACCCTGCCAGTCCACGAGTAAATGCGCAGATTGATTTGATAAAAAAATACAGAAACTAAAAAGTGCCAAAAGATAAAAGTGGCCGTTCCAATTGAAATTGAAAAATCCAATGCTTACAAATATCAACCACGTATTTCTACAGTTTTTTCTTCCAGTACACAACACACACTTTCTGTTAGGCAGCTTTTTCCTCATTAAAACGCAAACGGCACTCGTTCTCTTTTTCTCATTCCCTCGTATTTTCCATTCAGTACCCGCTACAAGTAATTCAAAACATATATTTATAGTAAAGCTTCTAGACTTTTGGTTCTAAACCTCTGTTGACTCATTTAACAAAACTGAAGAAAAAACACACCATTATCATAATTCCAAAATATTATTTACAGGACTAGTCGGCCTAATCGTCTAGCGTACTGCACAACGGCAGTTAACAAGGCCAATATGTAACCATTTCTGAAACGACTCGACTTTATTGCTGTCGGCGTTCATCTGCACTTCGTCCGTGATCACTGGCGAAAAAAAGTAAGATCCTCTTGCATAAGATTTTTTTTCCTGATTACTAAAGAAATTTTCCAGTTCGGAAGCAACAGTAAGTTGGCCGCCTGCAAATGGTGTAACAATATAAGAACCGCTTGAAAGCGTTCTTGAAAACGTAAAAGTCACGTAGCATTTTGCCTGCAGAACAAAGACAAAAAGTTCTTAA